AGATCGTGTACTGATCTTCCTCCGATCTCCCTGTACAGAGCCGCTGTACAGGTCCAGGCCTGCATGAGGCACAGCCAGTAAGCAGTAGATATATGCAAAAAAATATAAAAGTTACCAAATAGTTAAAAACTTAACTCTGTCTCCACCGCTCGCTCTCTACTGTAGAATCCAAGTTCTTGAGCGGCTGTGCAGGAGGATGTGTGCGGGCGCATGCACATTGGATATCACTGGTGGGGAGAGGAAAGAGCTACAGTGACAGTCAGCCGTGAGCGTGCATGCCGGACAGACTCCGTGGTATAGGAAGAAACAGCAGTCTGCGCTGGATCAGAGACCGACACCAGCGCTGGAGGGACTGCTGAAATCGAATGGAAGGAGGAAGATGTTCAAATACAGCAGCATTGGGGGGGATTAGCCTTTAATGGCACTTTAATTAACTAATTTCTCCCCTTAGTGATATTATTTCCAGTGATATAATATGTATTTACCACAGGAATATATGATATGTGCCACATAGTTTGTTGATCTTATGTAGCAAGTGTAGAGAAAGTAAAATACCAATTCAAGGATTATATCTGACGTATCCAAGAAATTCTCTATAGACTGCAAAACCCAGATCACTATTTGAGACTGGTAAAATAAAGATTACGTAGACAAATTACCTCATCAATCCTCCTCTTTTAATAACAAATGACTTGTGTTTTATCAGAGGGCATGCTCATTTATTTATGCATTTGCGAATGTTGCAGGTTGACCCTCCATCTAATTAACACGGATTTTTCTCAAGTGGGAAATTCACTTAAATAAATAATTTGCAGCGAGGAATAAATTAAACTCATTTTAGCACTCATCCTGCATTTACAAATTATCAGAATAATTATGACACACAGTTCTGATGATATATGATCAAAGTAAAATAAAACACCCCCAAATGAGGCTGAATTATTAGTCAGAACATAACATTGATTGGCTTTCCAGACTTATCTGTGATTTCACATCGGAGCTGTGTAATTAAAGTGGTAATCTTTGTGATATTAATTACTGTTTGAAAAGTTAAGATTGCCTTGGGTCCTTCACTAATGCACTTTGGCAGAGGAAGTGCCTTGCCTCAAAGGCATGGAAGTGTGTAGTTGCATACTGGAACAGCTGAAATTGACGCTTTCTTAAATGTTACAGGGAACCTTTATTGCTAATATGGAGATATATGTAGAAATAAAAATGTTATATCTCTGCAAAATTCTTCTTATTAAGCAAATTTAAAGTCCTTAACATTCTTTAGTCCAGTTTCATATTTATAAAGTGCTGTGCATTTTAATGCTGGTAGTATAATTATCTGAAATCTGTATGTGATCCCATGTACAGTGGACATCACCCTGAGAGTAGGAGTACTTGGACTGCCAACCAATCATGCACTATTTCAGGTGTTTAGTACATACAAGCCACAGGGCAATTTTAGCCTCCAATGTGACCTTGCAGACCAGTCTATTCAGCCTGTTGGTTTCAGCCCAACTAATAAAGAAAAATATACTTTTACAATATTCTCCCTTTAACTGCTATGTATCCACAATATGTAAATGAATATTCCCTGGCATTGGTACCTGTGCCGAAGGAACATTACTATACTTTCCAAATTTGACAACTGGGAGTGCATATATGCACATGCTCCAAGCTGTCAGACCACGCTGTCCCTGACAGTTCTGGTCTGAAGTGATGACCGGTAATTGTTCAGCGTGTTTCCCAGAAGGTTTCACCAGACCACCAGAAAACAGTAAAAAAAAAACTTTGCAATCTTTCTCTGCTGTATTAAATTAAACTGCTTTTAGTGTTGTCTTTGTCACTATTGGAAATATTTTCCATAATTTCCTGTGCCTGTTGCACCCACCACTGTGATAGGAAGTAAAAGCAAATATTAAATTAAGGCACAAAAAGTCACGAAAGCCCCACAGAGGTTCTAGATCTCCCCCACTGTGTCTGAAACAAAAAAATGGATAGAATTAGGGTTTTAATGTGTATCTGCTTTATAGACCTACTAGGCCTTTTTGAACTGTCTGATTAAAGAACATGTTTATGTTTCCCTACTAGCAACCAGTCAGTGTCTACCTTAACTGCTCCAAACTATCCTAGCAAATTGGAGAGAAGCTGATTGGTTTCTAGAGAGAAATAGAAAGTACTACAGTGACACACTTTGTCATTAGGCCCATTAAGAGTTAATATGGTTATTTACACAAAAAAACACTGTGATCCTTGGCCATGGAGGCCTTTCCCGGATCCTTTGTGAGGGAGGCACGGGGCCAGCCTGTAATGTGTCCTGCAGACACTGGGCTCTGTTTGTGCGTTTCCCGAATGAGTTAGCTGATCAGACCCATCAAAAGTTAAGTTAGATTCTGAACCCTCAGAATTCTGTGCTGGAGCCGACTCATCACCTGGAATGTCTAGGGTTTGTCCTAGATATTGCTGGGTCCAAAGTTTTTCTTTCACCAGACTACCTAATCACTCTCCACTCACAGGTTCAGACACTACAGTCCAGAAACCCTCTCACTCTCCACCTTTGCATGAGAGTTCTGGACTTGATGGTGTCCTTTTTTGAGGCAGAATTGTAGAAATGTCACCAGCACACCAATCCTTTTAAGATAGCAAAAGCTTCATTTATTGAAGTTCTTTGTCATATGACCAAGTTCTTGGTCATATGACAAAGAACTTCAATAAATGAAGCTTTTGCTATCTTAAAAGGATTGGTGTGCTGGTGAAGTTGAATGCCTTGTCTGTATACCTAAAACCCCCCACCAAGCTTTATGCATGGTTTGTCGTGTATGCAGATAATAGACAGCAATGATTCCCTAGTCCCATATAAAAGCTAAGAGTGCTAATTAGGCATCTTGAGATAACATAGGAACTGGGCTGTTTTGATTAACAAAACTCTTTATGTACTAAACATGATGAACAAAACTCGTCCAGTGGTATATTGAACAAACCAAAAGGAACCAAATAAGAAAAGTTGGGGTTTACATACACTTTAATACCCAACCTAAACTCTGATCTATCACTTAAGAAGCCAGCACATAATGTTAAACCCCTAGTCCTTACCCATCCATACATTTAGCCTGATTCCTAATACTAGTTAATCTCAGCAAGCCCACACTTCGCTGATTTGGAGCACTGGAATTTCACAATCTTCAGATTTTGATGCCAAATTCTACTAAACCATTTGTGTTTTTTTTTTAAATACTGAGATATGATGGTGATGTATTTGGTTTTTATCTCTCTGGTCATGTTTTGACCAAAGCCTTTACAGGTGGCCCATGACTTGAACTTATTTTCCATTATGACTCTCACATGCATTTGTCTAGTGCAACCATGATATGTTGCTTTGTACCCATATTTCAGGCACTGAGGCTATGGGATATATCTTGATGAGATTACAAAAAGGGACAGCATGAGTTACAAGAGAATTACAAGAGTAGCTGAATGTGTACTTTGAGTTGTGTCTGCTCTGGGCTATGTTTGTGTGCATTGTGTTCTATGTGCTCTGTGCTCTATGTATGCTCTGTGCTGTAAATGGGCCCATTGATACCCCCTCACCTCCAGGGAGTGCAGTCACTCTAGTACAGGCCTTCTTAAACTTTCTCCACTCGTGACCCCTTTTTGGCCGAGGAAATTTTTAAGGGACCCCAACGTCGGTCGGTGTCCCCTCTTTCCCCCAACGTCGGTTGGTGTCTCCCCCTCCCGTAGCGTCAGTCGCTGTCTCCTCCCCCTGTGTCGGTCGGTGTCTCCCCCCTGCATCGGTCAGTGTCTCTCTCCGCTTCTCCCCCAGCACCGGTCAGTGTCTTTCTCCTCTTCTCATCCCTCCACACAGTGTCGGTCAGTGTCTCTCTCCTCTTCTCTCCCCCCCAGCGGTGATGGCTCAGATGGCGACCCCCCCCTGTTCACTTGCGGGACCCCATATGGGGTCGCGACCCACACTTTAAGAAGCACTGCTCTAGTAGATGGCAGTCATCACACAAAAAAGGAGATCATGTTATTCTTTATTTATACCCTTTTTGTTTGTAGGCATGCAATTACTGTCTTTTTTTTAAGAGACAGACAGAGCTGTATGTACTTCATACATTTTATAATGGTCTTTCTGGGTCATATTCTCTGGTACATGTTCTTGATGCAGTTGTGCTTTTGCATGCTTTTTTTCTGGCGTATCCAAACCTTACATCAAGATGTTATGTACGACACACGAAATGTTTTATTGTTTGTAGACGTTTTTGTTCTGTTTATTGAGGTACAATTTCTGTAAGTGTACGTTATACATTATGTAGAATGGTGTCTTTGAAGATACATGTGCTCAATACACTTAAAAAAAACACCACACATGCTCCCCTATAATAAATCAACCCCAATGTGTTGAACTTTATTTTTTTTTAAAAGAGAGGTGTTTTCCTAAATGGCCAGCAGGTGGCACAATTGCCCTCATTTTGTCGTCTGTGGCGAATGTCAGCCAAGGAGGATCTTTAGTTTATAGTTTTGTCATGCTGAATAAAAATTTGCAGTTGGGCAACGGTGCTTAGTGATTTAAGAACAACCATTCTGGCAAAAAAAATACGTCCAGAATGAACTGGGGTGATTGCCGGTATTACTTTTTGCCTTCTTTAATGAAATAGAAATCCTTGTTGAGCAAAGAATATTTCAGAAGAGATATGGTCTGGTATAACTAAGAATGCTAGAAAGTTTTATATGATCTGAGATCTGCTAATTCTGTTGTAGACGACAAGAATTATACCACAATATAAGTTATATTAGTTGTCATTCTTTTTCTGAAACGCACTCAAGACTCAGTGACCATGAAACAAAATGAGAGCTCTTTTATTTTTTTACATTGATTTTTTAGACTATTTTATCGTACGCTTTTGGATGCTGATGGCACAGGCGCCTCTACAATATGATTGCTGATATAATAGGTGCCATTCATTTGCACATGTTGTTCTTTTCTTTGAGCAGACTTATTTTCTCTTTCACAGATGTCGTTCTGCCTGACTGAGCTGTACCTGTGGTCTCTGAAGAATACCTTGCATGTTGGAGGTAAATCTGTTTTATTGAACTTTATTTTGGACACTCAGTGGAACCCTAGTGCTTTGGAAAGGACTTGTAATGTATTAGATTGCAATGCGTTACAGGTATTGTTTGAAAAAGTTAGAGTTCCAAGCTGTATCAATTAAATGGCAAATATAATTCTTACAGAAAAGTTATTCTTACTGCAGTATTATTTTCTCTATTGGGGATGTGAAAAAAAGGTGTTTTATTACTTTTTAATCCTTTTTGAAAAGGTAAATGTGTAGTTTATTTATTTTTTATTAGAAAGGTTTATACAAATTCCTTTTCACCGAACTGTAAACACGATACTTTATTATTAGGGCTGCTATCAGAGACTCCAGATCAATGTTTCTTTTAAAGAAGAACTTCAGGTAAAGAAAAAACGTACCCTTGCAGAGGAGATACCCCTGCACTACAAGGGTTAAGTGGTCGTTTTGTCTAGGGGGCGCCAATAAAGCTGTATTACTCACCTGATCCTCTGTGCTGCAGCTGTCAGCCCTCGCCTCTCTTCCCCTCTGCTCCTGCCATGCTATGACCCTCGGCGCCCTTAAGTTTAATGTAAGTCCGTGAACCTTCATAAGATGTGATGATGTTAGTGGTAGAGCTGGGGCCCAGTGGAGAAGAGACCAGTCTAGCAGCCTGGTGGGACCAAGGGTCAGGTGAGTATATCAGTTTTATTTGAGCCCCCTAGAAAAAGAAAAAACACTTAAACCTTGCAGTTTAGTTCCTCTTTAAGGATAGTTGTAGAATAAATAAAAATCTAACCAGACAGAAGGGTCGTCTTCTGATTTTTCTATCCTTTTCTTTTGCACACAAGAAGACCATGACATCTGTTTGTGTGGACCACAGTGGTTGGTTTAATCGGCCAATGAAGGGCAAGATCTGACATAGCATCTCTCAGTCCTATCAAATGGGGAAATGACAGGAACGGTGAAACCTCACTATATTGCTAGACAGAGGGGGACACTTGTAGCTGTCCAAATGTAAAGTTTCTACTTTAGCCAAAATAGGTTTATCTGTAGGGCGAAGTCTAAATGTTAAAAACGGATCTAAACCCAAGAATAAAAATGTAATCTATTGTAGTTTACCAGTCCTTAGATATGGTGCCTGCTTTTCCTTTCTTTTTTTTTCAGGCTATTGTTTTCCTTTATTTCACCTGATGTTCCTACATATAACACACCTATTTTCCCTTGGTGTTCAAATGTATTTTTCCATTGGATGTATGGAAGGAGACATAGTTGTCGCACAGGCTGAACTCCAACGCTGTCTACCATTGTTCATCTCCATTACATTGTGGATTGATGGGATTAGTAATTCATGCAATAAAGATAAGGTTCTTTGTGCTTTATTTTAAGCTCGTTCACAGGAAGTGAAAAGGACTCTGCATTTCTGACAAGATAAACAGGGATTGTCTGTACTTGCGAAAAATGTTTTTAGCCTCAAAAGTGAAAACTCACGCAGCCACAAAAATCTAAGGACTGGTAGCTGCAATATATCAAATGTTTGTTTTGGGGTTCAAATATGCTTTAGATACGTTTTAACTATTGTTGCTGGAGCCAGGAGATTTTCACTTTTTTCTTGGAATCATGGGATGAGCTTAAACCTGCTGACACTGAACTGTGTATAGATCTTAGGAACCAAATTACTAAAATTTGGCCTGCCTAACTCCTCAATTCTACAATGTCTCCTGCCCTGAATACGATCACACAGAAGTTATATAAAGGGTTGTATGCCTTAGCTGGTCATTTGCATACAGCCTTCATGCACCCAGGTTTTCTGACCATGTAGAAGTCTATTTGGCTTTGTTTAAGTTGCATAATTATAGGCAGACCATTTCTGATTGGCTAGGAATGTTTGCTGCAAAGAACCGAAAATTCATTGCAAAGGTTTTCCTAAAATGTACAATCTCTACCTTCTATCTTCCCAGTTTTTGTCAAATTGTCCAAATCCAGTGTAGATTTACTAATAACCTTGTAGTGAGAAGGCCTACTTATGCAATCCATTCCATAGATATCTAGTCTTGTAGGCATTCAGACCTAATGTTGGTAAATCTAAATCTGGTTGTAATGTGTGTTACCCACTTTTGGCTGCCCAGTTGGGGTCCATCTGACCTGTAAGTTTGCAGATCTTTTGAGTGCTATGGAACGCTCCATAAATTTGCAAGAGCAACACTGCCATGCTAGCAAGATTATGTCAGTGCAGGAAGAAGGGGGCATAAGGGGAAGGTAGAAAATTAAGGAGGTCAGCACTAAGGATAATGTTACCAGTATTGGTTTTCTTGGAGGAGAACATTAGCAGTTGGTTGTAATTATGTGTCCAATTACTGGTCTCCTCCCTCTCCCCAAAAGGGAGGCTATCGGGCACAGAGCACCTGCCTGCCACTATAAACATGAGATTGTCCCTAAAAAGGCAAAAAATAGATGATTTCAGCAACTGTCAACTAGGGCTTCTTTAGATGTACACACGCAAGCAGTGTTTGCTGCTTAGAGCACTGTAATATATTAAACAGTGATATTATATGCAGAAACACTGTTCGGCTTTGAAATATTGTGCATAGTGTAAAAGGTATACCTGTAGGTCATTTGCAGCACCACCCGAAGCCTGCTGGAAAACCTCCAATTGTAGAAATCAGTCCTGTCCTGGCTAGGATCTGGGATGCTCAAGATGTTGGAAGCATGTTTTTTGAGCAAAGGAGAGCGCTTATTCCTGTGATGCTGGGGGCAAGTGTCCAACATCTGGAGCATCCCAGATCCTAGCCAGGAGGGGACTGATCTCTACAATGGAAGTTTTTCAGATGGGCTTAGGGCTACTGCTAATGGCCTACAGGTATACCTTTTAAACTGAGCACAATATTTCAAAGCTTACAGTAGAGTGTTTTTTTTTATTGGAAAGGTGAACCTATCCCTTAAAGGTGCCCATACACTTTACAACCATTGCAAGACCTTAGTCTTGCGATGGTTGTAAAGTAATTAAAAAAACGTACGATCTGCCCATCTTGGACAGGCAGATCGTACATGCGATCATCGCAAGCCCGCCCCCTGAGGGGCGGGCTTCCGATGACTGTAATGAGGGGCGGGCTTAGGATGACTGCAAACGGCAGGGTGCGCGTGCGCACACCGGCCCGTTCGGCAGTTGTCGAACCAGCAGGTCACTAACTCGCTGAGAATCGTATGATTCCCGGCGAGTTTTCTAGCATGCTAGTTCGACGGAAGACGTGCGTCCGTACAGTAGAAACGGTCGCACGCCTTCCATACACTGCACGATTCTCGTACGATCGCGGGATTTCCCGCGATTCTCGTACGAGAATCGTGCAGTGTATGGGCACCTTAAGAGTATTCCTAATACCTGGATGTGGATGGTGTAGTTGTACATCTATAGGGAATTTAGAGTAGAACCTAACATTCAGTAATAACTATGTTTATGTTCAATTTAATTAGTTTGTCTTAAAGTAGAACTGAAGCCAAAACTTTTTTTTTCTTTTAGATTTGGATAGAGTAAGGGAGACTTTTAAGTCCTGTCAGCTTTTTTGCCATCTGTGTCCCACTGGGGAGATGTCTCTTCACCTCCTGTCTGATAGTCACAACAGAAAGTGAGAGAAAATCCCTCCAAATTAGGGAAGTTCCAGGAGGTCAGCAAGGTCACCAGAACAAGTGTCCCCATTGGAAGATTTCCCATCGATTTCTGTTCTGATGACCACCAAAAATTTGAGTTTTTATTTCTCTTTTACTTTCAGTGATAACTGTTACCAGGACAAATAGAGAGGGTGACAGACAGAAGTGTTCTAATCTCCCTCTCTGCTCTATCCAAAACTAGAATACAAGTTTTGGCTTCATTTACATAGTGTATAGAATTTGATGACTCATGAGTATAATTTTTTTATTTTAGTCCCTAGACACAAATGAGCAGTTAACCCTTGCAGTGCAGGGGTAGCCCCACTTCAAGGGTTAATCCAAATGTTGCCTGGAGTTCTTCTTTAATAATCAATAAGCTTCTTCCAGGTCTCATGTATAACCATTTTACTGACCGTTCCTGATCTGGATCTCTTTCATCTGACTGCACTGACTGGGCTTTCAATTCCAGCAGTTTAGCCAAAAAGAAAAAAGAAATTCACACAACTGTTAGGCTGTGAACTTCTTATTTGTTTTCTACAATGAAATAATCAAAAACATTCTCTTGGGGCTCATCTATAACCTTAGATCCTTTTACTCACAGTTCCTGACCTGGATCTCTTTAAGATTACATCCGACTTTAACTCATTTCCTATTTTTAATACCAACAGTTTAGCCAAAAAAAGCAATTTCACACAAATGTTAAGTTGTAGATACTCCCACACTGCCGCAGGATCAGTTAGTGGCTTGGTTCTCTACCACCACCACTATGGGAACATCAACGGCATGCTGAGCGAATCTGTAGCCCTTCTAGCGCAGATCAAATGTTAATTTATTGTTAAATTAAAATCAGGCTCAGAAGATACCGGGGACAATTTCTTACATTGTTGTTATGAGTTCAGAGAAAGTATTGATGTGGAAAAAGAATTTAATGGCATTTGCTAGAGAGCTGTGTTAAACCAATTGAGTGTGGCTGATATGCAGCACAGAGCAGTGTATTGCATGTCTAGCTGAAATCAAGTGCTTTCAGCTGCTTTGTAAAAATGTCTCCCCCTCTCTCCTACCTTGCCCCTTGCTCTTTCTCTCTTTCTTTCTTTTTCTGTTCTCTCTCTCATTTTCTTTTCACTCTATCTCTCTTTTTTCTTTCTTTTCTCTCCCTTTTATTTCCCTCTTTATTTTTTCTTTTACTGTCATTATTTCCCTTTCTTTTTCATCTTTTTCTCTTCCTGTCACTTATTTATTTCTCTCTTTCTCGCTTTCTTTCTTTTTCTTTCTCTCTCTCTTTTTCTTTCTTTCTTTCTTTCTCTCTCTCTCTCTTTCTCCCTTTTCTTTTTTTTATCACCCTTTCTTTAATTTCCCTCTTCACTCTTTCTTTTACTTTCATTCTTCTCCTTTCCTTTTCCCTCCTTGTTTCTTATTTCCCCTCTCTTATCTCTCGCTCTCTCCTTCCCTCTCTCTCGCACACACACACTCCCTCCTCTCTTTTTCTTTCACTGTATATGTCTCTCCCTCCCGCTTTTCTTTCTTTCTCTCCCTTTCTCTCCCCTTCTCTTGTCTCTCCCTTTCATTTCCCTCTTTACTCTTCTTGTTCTTTCTTCTTTCCCTTTCTTTTTCTCTCCCTGTCTCTCTCCCCCCCCCCCCCCCCCCCCCTCTCTCCAC